CCTTCTTCCATCTCTATCTCTTCATCACAGTCAGATTCATCATACTTGACGTTATTTGAACTACCGCGTGGAGGCACATTGCAGCTATGTCTACGGATCATTTTTGGAGCATTTGTGTCCCCACCAGAGGTTTGAGGACTTTGTGGCAGCCCATTTGGGAACCACTTGCTACCGCGAATTTCAGAAAGGGTATTGAGGTAATTCGTCCCATGACCATTGGATGCTCTTAGCTTTTCGTTGGCCAGGTAAGCTGCTGCTTCAGCAGCAGCTATAGCTTGCCGTGCAGATTCAGCAGCCGCTTTAGCTGCCGATGCACTGTCTTCAAAATTCCCATTATTTGTGTTTCTGTTTCCAACAAGTTTTGATATTGATGAAAGAAAGAAAGAATAACTAGAAACATTAATGGGGAAATCAGAATCAAGACCTGATGAACTTACAGAGTGGTGTGACTGTTGGGAACTGGTTGTTTAATAGGTAAGCTGGTAGCACTCACAAAAGTGGCTGGTCCTTCCTGATCAGATTCACTTGTTTTGCTTTAGGCCCCGTTCCGTTTAACTTATTTTTTCTTATTCTTATTAAAATCAGATCAGATCGAATCAGATCAGACCAATTCAGATCGAATCAGATCAGATCAGATCCAATCAGATCAGATCAGATCCAATCAGATCAGATCAGATCAGATCCAATCAGATCAGATCCTATCAGATCAGATCAGATCCAATCAGATCAGATCAGGACTTATTAAAATAAGATCTCTTCAAGAATTATTATTATTATTATTATTATTATTATTATATTATTTTATTATTATTATTATTATTATTATTATTATTATTATTATGATCATCATCATCATCATCGTCATTATTATTATTATTATTATTATTATTATTATTCTTAAAAATGAAAAAGAATAAACTTTAGAAATAGGTTAAATAAAANTTTAAATGTATATCTAAATTAAATATTTATTCTAATGTATAATTCTAATTTTACAAAAAAATTATCATAAAATAAAAAATATTATTACATTATAATATGAATGATTATTCTAATATATGAATTAACTATTTTTATTTTATTAAAAAATAATCATTAAATAAAAAATATTGATTATATTATAATATTAATTATCATTACAATTTTCAAACGTTATTATAAAGTCAAATTAAATTATTGATTTGAAATTTTAAATTAAATCATAATTAATCAGATCAGACCAAATCAGATCCAATCAGATCAGATCAGATCCTATCAGATCAGATCAGATCAGATCCAATCAGATCAGACCAGATCAGATCAGAACTTATTAGAATCAGATCAGATCAGAAAAAATAAGTTGAACGGAACGGAGCCTTAATGGAAGGCTCAGAGCAGATTAATGTAACCTAGCAACAAAGTGAGAGAGGAAAAGAAAAAAACATACTATACGCTCTTCGGGTGCTTTGAGAAGCTCGACCTCAGACTCAGCCGTGTCCCATTTCACCTGGTACTCCTTAGCGATTTCCTTCAAGATCTTCAGTTTCGCCTCACCACTTGGGGTTTTTACAGACAGCTTCTCAATCAGCTTCAGCATGAAGAAACAGACTATTTGTTTGAGTTCTTGAAAGATACTCTACTTTGGAATGAAAGAAACTAAAAAAGTTTTGTACTCCTTTTGAACCTTATTATAAGGCACAATTGCCCTAATCACACAGAACATGAAAAGTAATTTATTTCCTTAAGTTCTTTAACACTATGTTTGGTTCAAGGAATTTGGAAAGAAAAGAAAAGAAAACGATTTTCTCTCATTTTCCTCACCAAAATGGAAGGAATTTGGTTTTTCATCCACTTAGTACATTTTGTCTTCTCATTTTCTTTTCCTCCCATTTTTCCTTTCTTTTCCTCTAAAACCAAGCAAGAAAAAGTGATTTCCACTTCATTTTCTTTTCTTTTCCCTTTCAAATTCCTTGAACCAAACATAGTGTAAAGGATTATGATACGGGGTATTCCAATTCTACCCTCTCAAAAGCATACTCCATCTCAAAATGAAGTTCACAGTTTGACATCACGAAGTTTAAGAAAAATGTTGAAAAATACAAGAATGTGTGGTTGAAATTGGTTTAGAAGATATCAATTGCGAGCCACATGTTCTTTTCTTTAAAGCAAAACAGATGTAATTGTGTACCATACGGTTCACGCCAGCATTGGGTCTCAGATCAGTAGCTTCAGAAACAAAATCCTTTCCATATTTTTTCTCAAAAATATCACGAATTCCCACAAGTTCAGGAATCTCAGAGCACCGGGGGGCTGCAAATATCAAACTCGATATTCCCTCTTTCAGATCTGCAGGACATTCTCTGGAATAGAATGGGAAGATCACATGAATAAAGTCACTCTAAGCACAAAATTAGTTACAGTTAACATGAAAGTGTTTGCATAACTGTATTGATGGAAAAGGGGCACCTTTGCTTTGCAATAATAGCAAGCCTTGACACAATAAGATCACAGAAGAGCTCAATGATTTCATTTGCTGCCAACATATTCTGTTCTCTCATTACATGTTCAACCTACATGACCATCATAGTTCACATGAACAAAAACGGACACCATTGCTTTGCAAATAATAGAAAATGGACCAAGCATAAAAACAACGACGATGACAAGAGAACCGAGTATAACCCCAACTTCGTGGGGTCTAGTAAAGTTGTCACTTGATACAATTAGACCCTAGATATATTTCTACATCCCCTATCCAAAACTTCATAAAAAGTAAGAAACAAATGGTGTTTAACAAGTTTTTTTAATTTAGTCCATTATTTACACGATACAATCAAGAATGACTCTTCTAGCTCCATGGTGCACTCGAAACACTTCAAGAACATTAGTAATCCATAGGGTGCCGAGGTTGTATCTGATTAAACACTACATAGACAAACGAGGTAATGCTAGGGTAATCAAGTTTCTTAGGTAATACTCCGTGCGAGATTACTTTTTAAGATTCCTTTTTTCCACATAAATTACGCATTGTCGCAATACATTTAGAGCGTGAGAACATTACACTCTCACAAACCGCACCAGACATATCGGATAATCTTACTCTCCCATCAGTAATATCACCTTTCGTCCACAAAACCACCCTTATGCTCTGTTTGGAATTAAGTAGTGGTTTTGGAGTAAAGGCTTTCAAGAGCCTATTCTATATCCTGATGAATCAATATATTGTGACACCTTCAAATTGATTACAATAGTTAACAGTTTGAACTAAGAAAAATTGTTAAGAGCATATGCCTAAAAGTAAACCCTAAAATTCAAGATTATTAAACAAAAATTGCAATTAAAATTGGGAGCCAAAGAAGAGAGCAAGGAAAGGGTACCCTGATTCGAGCAGTGGCATCCTGACGGGACTCGAGAAGCATGGCTATGTCTCTCCTCATCTGCCTCACAACCACTTCCCTCTTGTTCCTCAGAAGCTTTATCCTTGCTGTCGTCATCCTCGCCATTGTCTTGCTGGTTTTTACAGTTCATAAGCACAAATCCCATAATCAGAGAGCAGAACTTGCGGGTTTATGGATAAATTGTGGATCGAAGGGATTTTGGGGCAAAGTAAAACGATTTCAAGGAGAAAGAAAGAAGGAGAATTAGAGAGAGAGAAAGAGAGAGAACCATTTGGAGGAGTTGAAGCCGCGGCGGAAGAGGGAGGAGAGTCCGATCTTCATCGCTCTCTTCCAGTGGCCGACCGCCATGGCTGCTCTGCTCCAAGAACGTGGAGAGAGAGAGAGAGAGAAGGGGGTTTAAAAGCATGAGTGAGAAAGCATAACGGTCGAAATTTGGAGTTTTGATAGAAGAAAAAGGAAAGGAAAACTAAAGAAATGAGCAAGCTTAGCGTGGAGGTTCCGACGGTCCACGATGTTTTAGCCAGCCCACAGCTTTGCACCAAATTAATCCATCTCTTTTTTCTTAATGCAATTAATCCATCGAGTAAGTTTCGATACAATTTCGAAGTGATACCTAAACTTCAAATTCTTTCACAAAAACCCATGAACTTACATAATCCTTTCACTAAAAGTCCATTTGCCCGTTTCCGGGTTAACTTCCGATCATTTGGCCAAATTAGAATTTTATATATTTTAAAATTTTCAATTTGACCCCATTTCTTTTTTTCTTTTCTTCTGCTCCCCGCCACCGTCGCACCACGTCAAAGTCACCGGAAAATCAACCTGGTGAGATTCCGGCTGGACCAATGTCGTTCTCTTCGTCTTGAGATGAGGATCAAGAATATCCAAATCATTTTGTCCAATTTGGCATGCAACTCCTCGAATTTGAAATTTTCCACTCGAAAAAACCCTAAAATCTGAAATTGGAGGTTTTTGCAAAATCGTCATCAAATCTTGCAATTGAGGGATCCTTGGGGGTCGCCGAGATTCCACAAACGCCGGAAGGAGGCGGCGTTTTCCGGCCACCTCTGGCAAAATTGACGTCGCTCATCCCCTCCGGAAAAAATTCCATAAATGATCCGTTTTAATTTGATTTTTTTATATATAGTTTCCAATTTTAAAAAATTATATTTGTCATCCTTAACATTTTATAACTACTTCCTCTGTTCCTTTAATCCCTTCCACTTTTGACTTTGGTCAAAATTAAGGAAAATGTGATTTTGGTTGACTTTCCAATTTTGCCCCTGATGTGATGAGTAAAAGTAAGATGTGATAGTTTGGTTATTAGAGAAAAAGTATGATGTGATAGGTAAGGTATGAAAAAGTAAGGGTAAAAGTGAGTTTTTAATAGAAAGTGGAAAAGTTTTAGGGAATTTAAAAAAAACAAAAAAAAGAGGAAGAGTTTTGTGGAACAGGTTGAGTATTTAATAGGCCTTCTTTTGAATAGAAAATATGTGGTTGCCTCAGTAACTTTTTGGTGTTTGGTGGGTCATTTTAACAAAATTTCCATTTTTACGAACAAATATATGGAATGAGCCCTAAAAGTGATTTTAAAGACCTATAATTTCATTAATATTTCAGATAATCTAAGTTTGAGAATTCTTAGAAGAAAATGGAGAAATACCTAACTAGTTTTCTCTAATTGTCAGTGTCAAAGGTGATCCTGAAAACTCAGACGGCGGGCTGCACGAAAAATGGGAAGCGGGAGAGCAGCAAGTGAAGCTTTACTAGCCTACAGGGCGGTGCTGAAAGCCACGCGGAAGACCTTCGCCGGCGACACCCTGATGCTCCGGGAATCGGCAGCCGAGGTGAGGAAGAAATTCGAGGAGAACCGGGACGCCAAGTCGGAGGAAGAGATCAAACAGCTTCTTGATGACGCGCGCGAAGCCTCCTCCTTCATCTCTACCATGATCGTCCAAGCTCACCGCACCGACAAAGGCAGTTTCGGTAAACCCTTACTCTGATCGAATCTCTCGCTCCACGACATTACGACGACTACCTCCACGCTACCTGTTTGTTGAATTGCTGCAGAGGCATTTTCCAAATTCTGATAGATTTACATGTTTTTCTGATTATGCTGGTGATTTGTTTTATGTTGCAGCCGTGAAGCCGGGAATGGAGCACGCTGGGGCTACACTTGAAATTCCCTCAGAAGAAATTCTTAAGAAGGGTGGTTGATGATGGCCTTGGCAGAGCAGAGCAGTTGATAGAAAAGATTTTTTCATTTTCCTCTCCAATTCCTCTTCGCAACAAATTACTCCGTACTCCTGTTTGATCTTTGACTTAATTTATTTGAGTTGCTCCCATTTTCATGGGTTTATTCAATTGTTGGAATATAGTTTGTTATTGAATGGGTAAGGACATTATCATTATAATTGTTATGAGAAGGAGAAACTGTTAGGTTAAACTGCCTCCATTCTTTTGAAGTGAACGTTATGAAAAGTGAATCGGGCTACCATTCATGCATTTCCTTTCTTTGAAGTGCTTTTCGATGTACTAATGCCTAGACCTTGATTGGCTAAATTGGCCAAAGCAGTTTTTTTGGCAGAGCAGATTTGAGGATTTCACTCTCTTCTATTTGCATGGGTTGTTTATGCATTATTTCTTTGTACGGAGTAGTATCTGTGGAGAAATTGTTTACTTCAGGACCTGTAGTGGGATATTCTCACAGTGGCAAAGGTAGTGTTTAGCAACAAGACATTTCTTGAACTTAACATGTTACATCCTTCAGTTTCCTATACATTTATTCATTCATTTACCTGCACCATCATAGCTTCAAGAGTTCAAAGATCTTGAGCTTGACATGCAGGCAAAGATGAAATCCACGACCAAAATGAATTACATGGGAATGGCTAATTCTATTCAGAAATATGGTTTAGGAGGGACACTCTGATACGGATCATATGTTTGAACAACTCCTCCAAACCATGTTCAAGAATTTCAATGTTGATGTCTAGTGTCTCCAGCCTTCTTTGAGCCAACTCAAGCTTTTCTGCTCCTCCTCCCTCTTTGTCACATTTATGGAGACGTAAATCACCCAAGGCAAGATCCACTTTCTCCATATCACTAAGGTTGTTGTCCTTTTTACCATGATGATAATTGGTCAATGCTCCTTTCTGCCTCATAAGCTTGGAAGCCAATGACCATCTACTAGGCTTTGGTTTCAGGAGTGGTACAGAAGAAAGAAACATCAGCAGGGATTCAAATGTAGAGACAGAGACAAGGCTTGCCTCCTCAAGGACCCTGATTATGGGGGAATCTGAATGGGAAACTGCTCCATCATCAACCTGCTTTAACACTGTGAGTGTCTTCTCAATCTCCTTATGCATTTTTCTTCTGGAACGGGCATATGAATCAATCCCGCTCTCAATGTTCAAATGATCTCCCACCTTGTTTCGTCTAAAGACGGATTGGAGTTCATGGATAGCTTCTTTGGACATCACGACCATCTCCCTTGTACTGCTGCATATGTCAATGAATCTGACGGATCCTTCTAGCAACCCATCAACTGAAGTGTCTTGATGATGGTGGAAAAGATGGCTTTGAGTGATGGGAAGTGCGAGAAGTTGTTCTATGCATTCGTAGAGTTCTACAAGCATGGGCAGAAGTTCGTAGACCTTTTCTGGCTTTGGAAAAGATAAAGAAGAAGAAGAAAATGGTGAATCCCAAGTTTTAATCTTGTTCAACACTTGTTCAATCTTGTTTGTGCAAGGATGTGATCTACCAGGGAAGCTAACGGAACGAACATGGTAGCGGTTAAGGGACCTAGAAGATGACAGAGTAATCATCCTTCTGATTGAGTAGAAGTTCATAAAAGGGTTTGTATTTGTGTTGTGATCAAGCATTTCCACTCCTTTTATACAAAAAATATACACCTAAAGAAGACAAATGGAAGGTTAACTGGCTTTTCTTGCTTCATTTTTTTTCAATTCATTTTTATTTTTTAAGACTTTATGTCCATGTCGTAAGCATGTGGAGTTAATGCATGTGGGGTTTCTTTTACATGATCTTTAAAATGGGAAATAATAAATTTGTAATATTAAGTATTTAGCAATCATTCTTTCCTACTCATATTGTTGTTCCCCTCCTTAATTACCACTCCAAATTCATTTTTTGTATGAAGTCATGTGACCATAACACAACCAATACAATTGATCAATCAATAATACTCCGCAATACTTTGTAGTCTGCACTAGCACTTCATGTGTCTTCGGCGGTGAGAATGTGTGAGAGAAGCTGAAAGGTAAATTCTATCGAGCAGTGGTTAGACAAACTATGTTGTATGAGATAGAGTCTTGGATACATGAGTTTACGAAGATGGATAGAGTACGGAAAGATACATGGGATGAGGGGGAGTAGAATCTATTGAGTATGAAATGCACAAATTTAAACTAAAATGGTTTGGACACATGCAGATGAAGAGTTAAAAATATAAAGCTTCAATGAAGAGGTCTGAGGCGGTGGAGGCTGGTGGTGGGGAATTTGAGGTGTTAGCGTGGTTATCAGACATGACTTGCTTGTTTTTTTCTTTAAATTTCCCTACTTAAATCATATCCTTCATATGTGCTTTGTCTACTCTTTTGTGCTTATTGTGCTTTTTGTGCTCGAGCCGGTGGTCATTCATAAACAATCTTTTTACTTTTTCTAGATATGTATAAGATCTGTATGCACTCACCCTTGATTATGCTGGCTGTTGTTGTAGTAGCATGTGGTATCATGAACTGTAAACGTAGCAGCAAACCTGTCAATCGAACTTGGTATGAGGTGTATGTGTATAACCACACATACCTACACACAATGGTAGCAATCAAAAAGACTACCATACCCTAATATTCTTCTTCTTCTTCTTCTTCTTCTTCTTCTTCATTTCACGTTTGCATGTTCTCATGAGCCCATGTGGTCAAGTTCAAGATGTTCATCACCAATGTGGTTTGTTTTTATTATTTTCGTATTTTTCTTGTTCATGATCGCTGCTTTTGTCACATCATTCAGGGATTTGCCGCCGCTGTTTGCAATGACGAACCTATGGCCTCTCAGTTTAAGCTCCTTGATCGGATCAAAATGCGCAGGAGTTCCATATTTACATCTCCTGGGATTCTTGAGGTCGGTACGTCATACTCTTAACTCCAACACATTTTTATAATTTATTCGCTGCTATAAATAGGTTTTAAGACTTAATTTATTGCGACTCATTAGTCATTATGACACACACACACATTAATTAATTAATTAATTAATTAATTAATTACTGGGATTGGGTCTGATATAGAGCACGTAGTAATTAAAAGGGAGCTAGCATAGATATGTTAGGGCTAAATCAGTCATGTACTTTCCCAACCCAATGCATCTAGGCCATAGCCAACTCAAGCTTGCCACAGATTCATTTGCCCAAACAATGTCTGCCAAACTAATAAAATAATGACTGATTGCTTCCCAAAGTTGTCTGTATGGGAAGAACCTTAAGAGAGATGAATGAAGAAGCAGTTCCAAGATACATAAAGATATGGCAGTTATAGTTATTTAATGGTATTGGATTTTTATATATATATGGTTTGCACGAGGAGCATGGTCCAACATTGTCCCCATTTCAGTTGGCATCAAACCATTCTCTTAATTAATTCCATCATTATTAATATTTATATTAATATTTTATGAACAAATACAGCTCATCTGTTTGTTTCTGCCTGGTAATAATAATAATAATAATAATTGATTCATCCCATGCATTATCGTTGGGCCTATATCAAGTAAACCAATTAAACTTGATGTTTATTAACGAATGGTCGTGTCTAATCGCTAAACATTTGAATCTTTGATACTGAACATTTGAAGGAAAAAAATAAGTGTTCTCTATATTCCAAATTAATTTTGTCCATGCATCTTTTACTTTTTTAACAATTTTTTTTTTAATTTTTGTGAAGTCAAACAAGATATTTCATTTGGGGACGAAGGTGTATATTTGTTTAAGAAATGTTACTAGATGGAGTAAAACTAAATAAAAATACAAAAATACGAGTGACATAGTTTCAATTCTCTAAATAAAAGTTTGATGACACTGTGGTTGTGTGATGACATGTGGTGGATGGCAGCACTTTGTCAACCTCACGATGGCAGATGACGGCATCGGGTGGCCGTACGTGTGGCGACGACAAATGGCGGATGGTGTTACAATATATAATTGACAGGAATATAAATAATAGACCTTATTAAGAGAATGTTCCTTCTGTTTTTTAAAATATTCACTCTTTTATTTTTTTCTTTTTCTCCAAAATACTCTCACTTTTTATTAAAAAAAGTTACTTTTACTTATCACATTATGAGCAAAGTTGGAAAAATAATTACAAATAGGCATTCATTATTTCACCTATTAGTCAGAATAGGAACCATGTTTTAGAAACGAAGAGAGTAGTATTTTAAACACAAGGATTACATCAAAATTTATGTACAATAATACTACTATTAACACCGAGTGAAGATTCTTCATTATTTTAAACACAATGATTACATCAAAACGTATACATTACTATATTAACACGAAGTGAAGATTCTTCATTTTATCTTCATCTGGGAGTTGAGGAATTAGAGTGTGTGTTATGGTGGAGTATAAGGGGTTTGATTGGAGCAGTCCAAATTATCCCCATAGGCGACACCGAAAATGTCGCAATAGCGTTTGTAGAACCCGATCTGGTCCGCAACTCTGTCACTAGCTCCGCTGCCACCACACTCGACCCCGGCGTTTATGATGTTGGTGACCAGCCCGTAGCCTGGGACACGCCCGGCCGCTGTATCAGCCGCCGACGGGGTCCATTGCCCTGCCACCACGTCGTGGCACGAGGGTTTGGACCCCTGAGGGGTCATCCAGAACCACAGGGCGGTCTTGAAGGAGAGGGTGCGTAGAGTCCGTGGCAACCAGGTCCGGGTTACTTATCAGGTCGTAGCCCAACGCCTTTCCAGCTGCTCCGTAATTGTAAATTAAGATTAATTATCTGAAATGCTATATTTTGGCTAAATCCATGCCAGGCCACTTTTGTTCACATTAGTTATCAATACTCTCTTTTTTAAAGAATTTCTTTTTTAAAAAAAATGAAATTATAGTGTCAAATACTCCTAACACATTAAGATGAGTTTGTCACAATTTCACCCGTTTATGGGTTGGTGTTGCTAAATCTACCTCTATTATAACTATATATACCATTTGTTATACATTTATCCATAAACATTGGAAAAAATTGAAAGAAAACATGTGATCTTAGCTTAAAGATAGATTGGAAAATTTTTAATGATTCACATTCGGGTACGGTGATAGCACATAAATCACTCACTTGAGCTACAAATCTCATTGTTCCTAAATTCACACACAAGGTTATATTGTTGTATTGATTACAACTACAAAATTTGATTTGAAACCACCACTGATTCAATTCACTCCGTATTAGCATTTTTTATCAACCATATTAGCGTATTGTTTAGGAAATACAACTAGTAAAGTAATGATTGCCAATCTGGTACCAAATTAATGATTTTCTGATTATTTTTTTGTTTGAATTTTGGATCCATGACGTACTCCCTCCGTCCTATAATGATCTTCCCAGAGCACTATTCCAACTTCACGAGAATTTATATTTATTTGTGTTTTTTCATGGCCTATATGATAAAATAAAATATTCTTGTCACCACTTGTTTTGTTGAACTTTTGGTGTAGTTTTTAAATATGTACATTTTATTTTTTATTTCTATACCAATATTTAAATAAAATCGATTGAAAAAACTTGGAATTTTTCTTCGTTTTGCGAACCGGGAAGATCAGATGGAAGGAGTATTATTTTGAAAAAAAAGAATAGAAAATCACTGATTCACATAATGAGTTTACACTCAGTACGCTGTATAATTCAATTGGTCGGGATGAGTAGTACTTACTAAGAGATTTGAATAGGACCGCGTCCAAAATAGGATTGACCAGGAGCACAAGACCATTCTTGAGTAATGTTACAGTAACGGTCCGAAGTATTTTCTCTTAAAAAGCAATAACCCCACGCATATCGACCATCCGGTGCAGAGTCCCACCCTCCTAATAATAATTTAGTTTACATTTTTACATATTATGCTAGCAATCAATTGAAAATGTTAGGGTTATTAATAGATATGGAGTATAAAGTTCACACATTTGTCACATTATCGTGTCACTTATTAAATCAAAATTGTCAAACAATCATAAAATAAAAAAAATCTAACAACAAAAGTTAGTCTAAGAGACAAATGTTGAGTAAAATTAGTCACTTTCATATATAGTCAAGATTCACTATCAACCCAAAGCTTAAGGTGATAAATAGAGTTTCGTCTTTTTATATATGCTAGTGGCATTTCATTCCTTTTTCTGATGCAGAATCCTCAACACACTGAAATACATTATTTTGAAAAAAAAAAGACTAAAAAATGAGTAAAACATTGAAAATATATGTTCCAAAATGAGATTTACATAGTTACGTAAATTAATATATGTTCCAAAATGAGATTTACATTGTACTACGTATTTTTTCTTGGTCAAGTATATAAATTTAGTATCATTTGATTAATTTCAAAGTGTTCCAAAATTTAGATATAGTTTTAACTTATCAATTCTTTTATATTCCGTAACATTTTCATTTGGAATCTTTCCGGTTTAACTTTTCTAAATCAACATTATAAAATTTTGACTAAATATTGTAAGAAAAAAATAGTCCGTATTAAATTGTGATAATAAATTTAAATCAACAAAATCATTTTGAAATATAGTTTTGAAATATCTATCTATAAGTAAATATATAAATAATCTAAATATTAGATTCAAAATCGTAAAAAGTCTATTACAAAAATTGAAAAGATAGGGAGTAAGAAATTTGTTTGGACGTAGTACGACAGTAAAAAAAGAAATTTGAGCTCTATTTGTCTTTGTGAAAAATCAACCAACTAACCGGTAGTCTCGTGGGAGGTTTGACCCAAGAAGGCGGCGATTTCTCTCTTCACGGTGTCGGAGTCCCCCGTCGTCCCGAACTCTCCGAATGATTTAGCGGCGGCGATGAAGGCGTCATACGTATAGAACCCAGGCGCGTGGCACCGAGGATCGTCCCGATACTTCAGCATCTCGTCGAAAACCGCCTCGCTGATAATGCCGCTAATATCGCCGCCGGCACTAGGTGTCGCCGGCGTAGGGGTCGCCGGCGGAGCTCCTCCGGAGGGCGAACACTGGCTCTGGCATCCGGAACTCGGAGAACAGTACTCCGGGGTGGTGCCGCAGTAGCCGTACTGGCTGCAACAGTACCCGGCGGCGGATGATGCTCCGCCGGCCCGCATTGTGGTTGCGCTTGGGATGTTGCGGTCAATATCAAAACGCCAACGCTAAAAGAAAACACTTTCCATAATTCCATTTTTTTATGTTATAAGTATATATGCATACACTATCTATTCTACATATATATATATATAGGGAGAGACAAATGTGTTTGAAAAATTATAATTTAAAAAAAATAAATAGAGAGGAAATTGCATGGGAGGTCAGAGGATTTGAAAATTCATGCATGTTTGTGATTGAAGGGAAAAGGAAAAAATATAGATTGGATTTGGATCAATTTTCCACTTTCAAAGGGACTTCTGCTTCAATTTTTCCTTACCTTGTATGTGAAGGTAAGATATTGTGAGATACTCCATCCCCCGAAAATTGAATCATATAAAATTTTATATATTTTAAATATTCTGTGTATTTTATTTAAAAAATAGTTTAGAAACAAAAAATATGTTACATATTTAAAAATTATATCAAATGTTCTACTCCCTCTGTTCCACAAAACCCTTCCGGTTTTGACTTTGGAGAAAAATAAGGAAAGTGTAATTTTGGTTGACTTTCCAATTTTGTCCCTGATATTATGGGAAAAAGTAAGATGTGATAGTTTGGTTATTAGTGAAAAAGTATGATGTGATAGGTAGGGTATGAAAAAGTAGGGGTAAAAATGGTTTTTTAATAAAAAGTGGAAGTGTTTTGTGGAAAACAAAAAAACGAAAGAGGAAGAGTTTTGTGGAACGGAGGGAGTACAAAATAAGATGCAACAATAAAAATACTTTATTTTATCAAATAATCAATGAAGATATACATTTAAATAAAAGTTATCAAAAAACTAGAATAGTATGGAATATAATGATAGTCGGGAGAGGTTAGGCAAATTAAAATTCATGGTGTGCCTATGAGGAGTACAAGTTAAATAAATAAATAAACTTTTACTTACTATCGAAATAAGCATATTTAATATTTGGAAAAAATAAACAAATTAAACAAAAGTTTATGAGAGAATATCTATGTAGATGTTAGGTCCATGATAGCACTTGTGTAACATATAGGGCCATGCTTTGGAATGACACTATCAATTAGTTTAGGATTTTAAATTATGACGTATTTTAATATAGTGTTGATTTACTTTAAAAGTTTCTCAAAATAGTAAGGCAAAATGCTACAACTATTATTGTCAAAGGGTTCTTTATGGAAACATTATTACTTCCTCTATCTTTTGAAATCTTTCTCCTTTTGATTTTCAATACATTTAAGAAAGAGATATTTTGAATTGATTTTTCAAAAGTAAATTTGATGCGATATAGCAAGCGGGTATGGCATATGGAGGATGATGAATAAAATTATCCATCAAAAGGAGTGTTCAATTGAGGAAACAGTCAACTACATATGTTTTTACATTGGAAGCTATTTTATATATAGGAGGAGGATGTAATAGGGAGTCTTTTGTGTATTTCAAATATCGTATGGAATAAAATGTGTGTTTTAATGTGCAAAAAAATTGATGAGATATGATAAAAGTACGACAAGATGGGAAGATTATTAGTGTATGGATATGATGTGATAAGTATGACACAAATTATTATAGGTAAAAATGGTTTTTCAATAAAAAGTGAAAAGGTTTTTTTGAAACAGATAAAAAGAGAAAGATGAAAAGTTCTATGAGATAAAGGGAGTACAATTTTGATAGAAAACACGGGGCCACTCCCCTTTTGATCCTTCAGAACCTTTAATCCCAATGGGACGATCCTGCATGACTTTGTACGAGATTGTTTACAGTTAGTCTTTTTCAAGGGTTGGATCCGAATGGGATAATCCTACATGATATTAGGCCATTTAATGAGATCAAAATGGGTAGAAGCATGATCTTAGGCCTTAAATGATTATTGAAAGTGTTCTATGCAATTAGTAGTCATGGTTTGCCATAGGAATTGGTTGGAATTGGATTTGGGACTTAGAAGCAGTGCTGAACGTTGGAAACTCGTGTTGTAATCCATCTACCGCCATAGTCTAATCCACGCTGTCAGATGATGTTCCTAGTCAGTAACACCCTACCGGACGGATGGTAGCCGGCTACCGCTCAGGCGGTTGCCAGCTACCGCCCTTAGTTCATTTAGTATTGTCGGTCGATGTCCCCTCACGGTATCCAATTACCGGGTGGCGGTACCTATGTACTACTTGCCGGTACATATGTACCGAGAGAGGTTCCGCCTCATAGTAGCAGTTAGTTCCCGAAATATTTAAACGTCAAGGATAAAGTCCGAGACTATGTGTGTTGCATGACGGTAAGTTTGGGTGTGAATGCCCAATACTAGACCGCTATTTGTTATGTTTATGATTGTTCTGTGTTGATCCAACAGGTATGTTATGACATGAGATGTCTCCCTACTTGAACTCAACGATAAGAGTGGGTTAGTCCAACACGTTAAAGTAAAGGTTATGTGGTGTTGATCCAACACAATAAATGAGATAAGTCTACCTAGAAGAACTCTAGAACTGACTCAGTATTAGGATAGTAGAAAATAATCCATGTGGGGCTTGTTGGGCCTAATGGTTAACCGGGTAAAAACGTATGCACGGACATCCTTGAACTGCCTGGTGATCCATCATGTGGGGATTCCATCCACCTAACGAAGAACTCTTTCGTTGGTCGAGCATGAACCGCTGATCTAGTGGGAACAATCATGAGTCCAAAATAAAGTAGTCTTAGTCTAAGACAGATTGTAGTAACAGGTTCTTGGTGATCCACCAACCTCAAAGAATCCACAGGTTTGGTGAGAAGGGAACTAGACAAGTTCCAGGTAATTTATGTGTTGAATCATATGTGTGTTATGTATGTTGGTTGCATGAGGTCACATGATTGTTATGAAATGTGGATTCCCTTGATTGTTTACTTTGACATTAGATATTTCTCACTCACTTCGTGATTGCTGAGCGTGTAATTTTGTTTATTTGCTACACGTATGTAATCAAGGACATGATGAACTTAAAGCCGATCCGAGAGAGTAATGAAGATGAAGAGATGTGAGTGGTCTTGATCGAGAATTTGGAATTAATTACTATTTGTAAATAACTTGTTATGTTTTCGGGCATGAGTCCCAAGTTGTGTTTGGTTAAATAAATTAAGCTTCCGCACTGTTTGAATTTTATTATACGAATTGTTTGGAGGTTTTAAATTATTTGAAAATATTGTGTGTTGAGATGCCAAATTAGTAGCAACTTGATTCATTAACTCATGCATTCAAATTATGCTGGTTGGAGTGTTAGATAAGTATTTCCTCGTTCCATTGTCCCTACTCTCGGTATCTATTAATTTATTGATATCATGATATAGCATAAAAAGTATCACAATTTTTATTTTCCGCAAGATAGATACAAATAAACATCCATATTCAAATATTCTTAAAAAATAAAATAGGACTGGAGTACCTAAAAATATCGGACCGTTCCGACCCTTGCCCACCCCAATTCGTGGTTCATAGTTTTTATGAAGTTTATAGTTTTGACTTTGGGCGGACATTTTTACTTTATTTTGCAAGTCAAAGTGGTTGCCTCCCCCTTCATTTATTTTATATATTTATATCTAACTTTGGACAATGACAAATCAGAACAACGCCAAGTCCCCAACCTGTCATGTTTTGTCTCGACCCCAAATATTAATGGATAAAGAGGGATAAGATTATAGCCCGAACCGTGTCCGAACCCTTTGAAAAAAAACGTGACAATATGCATGATGATAAAAAATTCGAACCATCCCAACCCGTATCCCACTACACCCTATTTTTCTGACTCTGGGGTATTTATCATGTGGGTCCGGTGTTGCCCGCCCTCTTACCAACACACTCCCACATTTCCAACTAATAATTCCTCTTTATTCAGGGCCTAATCTCAGTGTCAATTGTACTACTCTGTCTCTCTAAACTCTAAACTCCATAGGATCACAACAATAGTCATTAGAGCTCCATTTATTTTTTGAGAAATTTTGATACTGGAGTACTTGGTATTTTCTCCTTCTTCAATTAATCATATCACTCCATTTAATCAAATGTTTTCTTCTTTCTTTATTTTTTTTATTGTCGTTAATTATATGCTACAATTGGGTTTTATAAGATTGTTAATTTATATTTTTATACTAATTGGTATTTCCCCCCTTTAAGCCTAACCTTCCCTAGATACTGGGTTTGTTAGTTGTTGTTGTATATTGCAGATACAGCCATGGGAGTCATTAAGCTACCCAGTGGGGTATCTTCTAGAATTACTGCAAAACAATTTGCAAGTAGAAAAGTTAAGAAAGCATTTTCTGCTAAGACACTGCAATGGAATGCTTATCATCATCACCATGATGGAGTTAACAACCTAAGGAATGGATTGAGATTTGGAAGGGTAAAAACATTTGGAGTTCTAAGCTCTTCTGGTTTGGAGGGTGAGTTTGCTTCAACCAGAGAGAGACTCATTAGTGGATCAAATGAAGGATCTATGTGAGATTCAGACCTTACTTTTTTTCTGACTTGATGCTTTTTGTTTACGTTTTTTGGGCCCACGATCACAAGCTTGACTTTTTTCGTTGAACGGGTAAAGTCAAAATAGGAGTTCTGATTTATGACTCTTAGTGAATTGGCAGGTAACTCTCTCGAAGTACCGTCAGCTCGGAGTGTCCAAAATGAGCTCATAATGCTTTCTTTACCTGCTATTGCTGGGCAGGCAATTGAACCTTTAGCATAGCTTATGGAGACTGCTTATATTGGAAGGATGGGTTAGTGATTTTCATTTCGCGGTCTGTTATAAGCTCTTTGCACCCAATTTTGGTGTTTCTTTGGAACTCGAAGAATGCCTGGAAAAGACGATAGGGAAGAAAGTATAGGGTAAATTTGGAAGAAATGAAAATGTGGAAGAAAAAAAAAACATTTGTTCAATCTCTATAGACTTTTGCTTGATTTTTTATGCTTGTCCAAACTCTTACGTATGTAAAGTTTTACAAGCAATGATCATGTTCCGTTTTCATTTTCATGGTAAAACCAAACACAAGAACATACAAATGTTGTAATGTGGTGGAAATATATTACAACAAAAGTCGGCCTTCTTTTTCTTCTTTTTGATTTATTAGTCTTTGGGAGTAACTTTCATGCCTTTTGTGCTTTATGTCTAGTTCTTAAAGTCGCTTTGTATGCTTCTTTTGTCTATGTCTGTACATCGTTCACACCACACATGTTTCTTTGTTTTGCATAGGAAAAAGTCTTTCTAATTTCTAGTAGGGGTAAGGTCTGCATACACATCCCTTCCCAAGACCCTACTTTTTTGGGATTTTCATGGGCGGGAGTATTCTTCATATGGTATGACTTCCAATAAAATGTAAAAGTAAATAGTACCAAATAATCGAACATTTTTAAAGGTGTATTGGAGCTGGCTTCCGCCGGGATTTCAATATCAATATTCAACATCATATCAAAGGTGTTTAACATTCCTCTGCTCAGTGTGGCAACTTCGTTTGTTGCTGAAGACATCTCTAAGTCTACTACAGGTAATTTAATACGATTCGTTTTGATCCTATGGCTAATATTAACTTCGGAGAATATGGAAAGAAGTAAAGAACAGAAAGAATAAAAAAAATTTCTGCAACAGCCGACAAGAAACATCTTCCTTCAGTCACCACTGCCTTAGTGTTATCTGCTGGAATTGGCTTATTGGAGGCTGCAGCAATGTATCTTAGCTCCGGACTTTTTGTGAGCCTAATGGGTATTCCAACAGTAAGTTTATATATATACTTACTAGTCAAAGGAATTGCTCATTGACTAGTGGTGGATGTACAATATTCTTGTACATACGTACCTATGGTTGTGCGATAGAATTTCCATTGAAGAAAATGTTTTTTTTTTAAAAAAATTTCTGTTCTTGTAATTCAATCTTAACGGATGCTTGCAGACTTCACCGATGCACATTCCAGCAGAGAATTTTCTTAAACTTAGAGCACTTGGTGCTCCACCAGTTGTACTATATCTTGCCATCCAAGGCATTTTCCGGGGTTTTAAGGACACAAGGACCCCTGTATTATGTTTAGGCAAGCTTCTATGTATCCTTGTCTGTCATTTTTATAGAAATTTCTCTTTAAAACTTGCTACTAGAGCTCATATTTGGCTAGTGTGCTATAGTAATGTCACATAAAATGAGTTATTTTCCTACTTTGTTAACATTTTTTTGGTGCTACTTTATACGATTCGGACAATGTTGCAGGGTTAGGAAACCTTGCAGCTGTATTTTTCTTTCCCATCTTTATGTATATTTGTCGACTTGGCATAGCCGGTGCAGCTATTTCAACGGTTGCTTCGCAGTAAGTTAGGGAACAGTTTGGTTTATATATATATTCTAAATCATATCAGATATTATAAGTCTGATGTTTTTTAAAATGCAGATATATTGTAGCCATTTTAATGCTATGGCATCTTAGTAAGAAGACATCTTTATTGCTACCAAACATGAAGAATTTGCAATTTGGTGGCTACTTAAAATCTGGTAAGTTTTTGTTTAAACAATTTACCCCACCTGATACCCCACTCATTAGATTACACTGAGGCTTTGTTTGGTACACAGAATTCAGGCCATGGAATTGGATCCTGCTGTTTGGTTACGCAAAAATATGTGGATTTGGAATTGGTAGCGCAAAATATGAATTGGAATTGGAGAATTCAATTCCATCCAATTCAAATCCTGTGTTCCAAACGGACCCTGAGTTTGTTGTTTTCTTCGTTTGGTGAAACTATAGAAAGCAACCCATTCACTCTTTTTAAGGATAAATATTGTCTATTAGGTGGTTTCCTGCTTGGGAGAACGCTGGCTGCTGTTTTGACAGTGACTTTGAGCACTTCAATGGCAGCTCGTCTCGGAGCAATTCCCATGGCTGCTCATCAGATATGTTTGCAGGTCTGGCTGTCTGCATCTCTTCTCGCGGATGCTCAGGTTGCTTCTGGTCAGGTCAGCAACCATTTCTTTTGTTGAACATTCCTTTTTCTGGAAATCCTACACGAAGAAAATATTTAATTTTCCTCATGCATATCTCCATTCTGCAGGCTCTCATTGCAAGTGCATTCGCCAAACACGATCTTAACAGAGTCAGAGTGATTACACTAGTAGCTCTGAAGGTATCTCTTTCCACTTTTCCCGTGTCCGAGTTAACATCATCTGTTTCCATTTCCTTAAATGCGATGGTTTCTCATGTTGTTTTAGACAGGATTATGTACAGGGATTTTGTTAGCCGTGGTACTAGGGCTGTCGTTCCCCTCTCTTGCAAAGTTGTTCACCAATGATGCCCAAGTGCTAGATATTGCAAGATCTGGACTCCTGGTGTGTAATATATAACCTTAAGAGTGTAAAAATTTTATCTATCTTTGGTATATACGATTTGAAAAACATGACTTATATTTCGAAGCATATGAAGTTTTTTTCTTGAAAAATAATGCTCTTTGTTTTTGTTGCAATGTTCTTCATTTGGCATATATTTGTAGAGTTGTTTGCGTCATTTACCCCCGAACTCTTCAAAAATTGCTCGAATTCCTTCTGAACTTTAAAAAATTGCACCAATGGCCCATGAACTTTTTAAAACGTTGCCTCAATGGTCCCACGCTCATCACACGCTCATCAATACACCTGTAGGGACCATTGATGCAAATTTTTAAAGTTCAGGGGGACTGCACACAATTTATGAAGAGTTCGGAGGTAAATGATGCAAAAACAAAACTATATTTATATGATGATAAATGATACATGCATGTATAAATTTCAGTTTGTGAGTGCCAGTCAGCCAATCAATGCTCTTGCTTACATCTTTGATGGTCTTCACTATGGTGTTTCTGATTTCCCATATGCAGCTTCCTCCATGGTAAGATTCATGCCAAATAAAGCCTAAACCATGCTTCAGTGCATGCCAAAACACATTCTTTACAAGAAATTTTCTGTTCTATTTGTAGATGATAGTTGGGGCCATGTCATCAGCATTTCTGCTCTATGCGCCTTCGATCATCGGTCTTCCTGCAGTTTGGTCCGGACTGACTCTTTTCATGGGTTTGCGCACGATCGCTGGATTTTTTAGGTAACCACTAACCAACTAACAGGAATGACAACGGGTCATTTTTTTGGATCGGGCGAACGGTGAACCTTCTTCACTCTCATCCATTCACTCTCCATTTCTCATTCAGTCATTCGTGACATACATCATCTGTTATCCTTAGGTGGAACGGGTGTAAAACGGATGAAATCAATGACTTTTGCATTGCTAATAACATTTCCTTAAATTATCACTCGCAACGGACGAAAAACCCTTAATTTACTTCACATACACGGAATAGTGTGTTAGTATAAATTTTAAAAATTTTATACAAATATATGGATGGACGGATGGATCGGGTCGTGGGTGAGAAAAGTATCCATTTGTATCCGATCTCTCATCCGATCCATCTATAGACAACCATGGGTACCCCAAGCACACCTAAATTTTACTTTTAACACCCTCAATTTTAAATTGTAATATATCAATGTCAGGTTATCGGCAAAAGATGGGCCGTGGTGGTTCCTACAAGATACACGCAAGGACAAGGTACATTAAATACAAATTGGTCGCAGATATTCGTGAAAAAATGGGGGATCTTTGCACAATAAACATCTCACGGACAATTATTTTCTGCAAGTCTTACTCTTTACACGGGCGACAATGGGTTGTCTAGCTACAATGTAAGTGAAGCTGTTGGGATCTCGATCTCGGTGTGACATGCCCGTACGTGTTAAGCCACTTAAGCCATGGTCATGGTGTAGGTGTCGTATGGTAAAAATTGTAGCCATCCATAATGAGCAATCGTAGCCGCTATGAAATACTTCATTCATCTAAAAAAAAGGCTCCTAATTAGGTTTTGTACGGAGTTTAATACGGAGTAAAAATAAAATTAAGTGATTGAAAATAAATAGTCTTTTTTGGAATAGTATTTAGTGAGTCAATGATAGTCTTATAAGTTAAAGGCATAATTTGATTCCATTGTTATTACTCTGTATTGTATGCAGTATATGGTTTACCTTGGAATAAATCATGTTCTTATACTATGTGTAGTGTTGAGAATAAAAAACACACAACACACACAAATAATCTGCAAGAATCAAGAGAGAAACGGAACACAAACGACACACAAGAATTTAACGTGGTTCGGTTTCCCTAATCCACGGCTGCAACGGGAGGATTTTCTTATTTCACTTGTGGTGTCTCAATTACAAGTACAAGTATGCAATATATATAGGAAGAGTGCATCTAGGGTTTCGTAAAATGGGCCAGGCCAAAAGTCAAGCCCAAGCCTCCACAAACCCAACATTCTCCCACTTGGAGGCTTGATAGTCATCAACTGCCATCCACCACGATTCCTTGTACATCGAGTAATCTTCCTCAGCTCTCCTGTTGCAGCGGCCCTATCATCAGACAACTGAAAGGCCCGTTGAAGCTCTCCCAAGCTCCAACACATCAGTCACGGCAAAATCTGCCCCTGACTCGTCCTCGGTCCCTACCGGCTCCCACTGCAGACGCACACTGCCGGATCCTGGAACATCCTGAGAACAAACATTCTCCATACTCAGCAAGAAATTTTCTGGAGATGTTCCAACAGCTGGAATGCTGGTTCTCCTGACCCACTGTCTTCTAGGAAACTTGGCTGAAGCGCCTCTTGAGCTCCCACTGCCACAAATACCTCTGACTGGCCCCCTTGAACCTTTCCACGCTCGTTCATCCTGAGTCTGACCAGTGGCTCTAGGTTTTTCTCTTGCACAGACAACCTTATTCTGCCCACGAGACTCTGTGAACCGGACTTCGTTTTTCTTCTGAACTGGGACGGTCACTCCCTCAGATGGTAACTCGACCATATACAACGAACCTCTCTTCCTTCCACGGGCCATGACAAGATTTCCCTTCACAACCTTCCACTGCCCATCTCTGAACTTCACCTCGTGCCCCTGTTCGTCCAACTGCCTGACAGAAATCAAACTTTTCTTCAAGGCTGGAACAACTTTGACATCCTTCAAAGTCCAGAAACCGACTGGGGTCTTCAGCACTATGTCACCCATGTCCGTCACATCAAGAGCTCTATCGTCTGCTAGTCGTACCTTTCCAAAGTTCCCAACAACTAGATTCTGCAATGCTTCACCACTGTGGGTAGCATGAAATGAAGCACCAGAATCCATGACCCAGGAATCCACATTGCTTTCCTCACAGCAAGTCAGAGCAACCTCCTCGTCACTCGCAGAGCCTTGAGCAATGTTTACTTTCTTATCATTCGGACATTGATTCCTAAAATGCCCCACCTCCTTGCACTTCCAGCACGTTACACCTGAGCTATCCCGAGTCTTCGACTGACTCCTTCGTCTGTTCCCGCTCCCACTACCTCTGTTATTTCTTCTACCTCTACCAACATGAAGCAATTCACCAGATGACTCCCCTGAACTCTTTCTTCTGTGTAGGAGCGGTTCTTGCTCTAGAGCTTAGACTAGTTTCCACTTAGGTAGCCCAGGGTCTGAACCGGTAACTGCTGTAACCGTTCCGGACCAACTATCAGGTAAAGACGATAGCAGTAGCAAAGCTTGAACTTCATCATCGAACTTAATGCCCACTGACAATAGTCTGGCTAAGATCGAATTCAACTTGTTGATATGCTTGGTAACTGAAGTGCCTTCTTTCATTTTTGTGTTCACCAGCTCTCTTATCGGAAAAACTTTGTTCGCTGCAGATGGCTTTTCATACATGTTAGACAGCGCGTCCATAATTCCCTTCGCTGTCTTCTCCTTCAGAATGTTGAACGCAACATTCTTGGTCAATGAGAGACGGATCACGGACATAGCTTTCCGATCCAAACTTGCCCAATCTGCATCCGACATTTTTTCTGGCTTGTCACCCAATACCACGTCCAAATCTTTCTGAACCAGCAAATCTTCAATTTGCATCTTCCACCAACTGAAATCTGTACCATCGAACTTCTCAATTCGGAACTTTCCATCTTCTGCCATCTCAAACGACTAGACGAGATACCCGGTATAAAAATTTCAGACCTTGGTAATTTTGTTAGAAAATCAAGCCCACCACACTAATTGAGTCAATCCGAACCCAAAAACAAAGCCAACCAATCCAATCAATCCAAAATCAATTCAAAAAAAAAAGGCTGCCAATTAAAACAATCAGCCCATTGCCAATTTTTTTAATTCGTTTGGACGATTGGGAATCAACGCCGACTGTGTGCCTTCTTCACGACAGCACCAATTGACGGCGGCTGCTCCTGCTCAACGGCGGTGGCGCTTCCAGGAGACGGTGACAGCGGCTGAACCTTCTGCCTGCTGCTGTTCCTCTGTCCTACGGCGGCGGCTATTCGAAAGGTGGGTCCTGGGCGGCACGGCCTGCTGCTCGCGAAGCCCTACCCAGCGACTGCGGCGGGAGACCAAGGCTGTGCGACGGCGGCAGCGAGGCAACCCCAAGGCTGCGGCTCTCTCCCCTGCTGCGCGACTCACTCCGGCGCGGCCCTCACAGCGGCGACGGCTCTGGACCTGCTATCGATGGCGGCGGCGGTTCCTCAACGTGGCGGCGGCGGCTTCGATTGCACGGCTAGATCTCTGCACCCGGTCCCTGTCGCTCCTTCAACTGAACGACCACACACACGGACGATCTGGATCCCACACGGTTCTTCACACAAGAACCCTAGGTGACAAATCTTCTCGTAATTTGTGCTCGTGTTGAATAACCTTGCTCCGATACCAATTGTTGAGAATAAAAAACACACAACACACACAAATAATCTGCAAGAATCAAGAGAGAAACGGAACACAAACGACACACAAGAATTTAACGTGGTTCGGTTTCCCTAATCCACGGCTGCAACGGGAGGATTTTCTTATTTCACTTGTGGTGTCTCAATTACAAGTACAAGTATGCAATATATATAGGAAGAGTGCATCTAGGGTTTCGTAAAATGGGTCAGGCCAAAAGTCAAGCCCAAGCCTCCACAAACCCAACATGTAGTACTTGTGTTGTGTTACTCAGAAATTTGTTGAGCTTACAAATTGTTAGTTCATTTATGTGTATATCGAAAGCCGGACATTGTTGAAGGGCAAGATGTTTAGGGACGGTTTTAGTATAGTTTTCAATGTTTTATTTCAAGTGATGTTGACCCAATTAGAGTGTGGCATTTGTTCATACTTTTCTTAAACTACTGATTTATAATTTTTGACATTTTGGTTGTTTTAGTCCTATTTATAATAAACAATATTTTGTTCTATTTACCATACTACTGTACTGTTTATCAAGTAACAAGTTCTTTTTTTTTTGAAAAAAATATGGAGTATTTTATTTTTATATAATATTATTCTAATTAATTGTAAACAACTTGAAATGCTTACTTTCAAGTGTATAAAATTATATTAATAGTTTTATTTATTATATTATCATCCTAAAAATTTAAATTATAATTTTTTTTTAAAATAAACAAATTTGAGAAAATGGTTTGATACAGTTTTGAGGCCGTTGGTCGGGAGTACGGGAAACACATGTATATTTAGTCGAGAGATTAACATGTGCATTATTCTCAATTAACAAGTATCATTTCGATAATAATTCATCTTAACAATTAATTTGGAAAAGTACATACTTATTTAATACTTACTCTGTAAGTCAAAACGGTTCCTCTTTTGACTTTGGAAAAAAATAAGGAAGTGTTAAATTGTAGTTGACTTTCCAATTTTGCCCTTGATGTGATGGGTAAAAGTAAGATGTGATAGTTTAATTGTTAGTGAAAAAGTATAATGTGATAGGTAAGGTATGAAAAAGTAGGATAAAAGAGATTTTTAATAGAAAATGGAAGCGTTTTAAAAAAAATAAAAAAATGAAAGAATAAGAATTTTAAGAAAGGGAGGGAGTAGCATTTTAAACATTTACGCTACAAGAATAGTGACGCAAAAAGTCCAAAGTCATGGTCATTCTTTAACTTAAGGAGAATTGTTTTTTTCACACGCAATAGTCGGATGGAGCAGGGTAACAAGTGAGATTTTCCAAATCTCTTTGATTCGTATGTCATAGATTACACTTGATTTACACTAAGACCATGTTTAACATCAACGTTAGAAATTATCATTAGCGTTTTAAAAAACTATCTGATAATAGCCTTTAACATTTTTAAAATTAATCAATGTTGGATTATTAGGAGAAAGAACACTGCGAAGCAGTGTTTAAACGGAGAACTCGATAGAATAACGAATCGTGTACGAAACGCTTTCAGATCAAAGTTATTTCGGGGTATACGAAATACTTCAATTGGATAAGACGTTGATCAGGAACAAGCAATCGAAAATCTGTACCCCAATCCATACCACGAGACTCTAATTTATAGAGTCTAAAATTTCCATGATCGGACATGAACCTTCGCGTAGACATACACGTACGTTTGCGCGGAGAAGAAGAAAGGCGCGAGTTTGAACGAGGAGCTTCCTGCGGTTTTGTGGTGCATTTCAACGTTTATCCAATCGTTGAAGTCCTTTACCGTTTTGGACTCCGATCACGAAAATCTTAATGATTTTCTTTAAGAATCAACGTCCGAAATAAAAAATTGCTCGACCCCGGTCAGGGGTCTACCCCTTGGACCCCCCGGAGGGGTTGCCTCCCCTTAGACCCCGCTACCCGGGGGCTGCCGCCCCCGAACCCCCGCAGTGAATTTATAATATCGTTGAACGAGCGCGCATTCCGCGCCTCCGAACTCGTTTGACAACGTCTATTTAAATTCTTGTCCGATCGAAGTAAATCCAATTACACAAAATAAATCAATGACACTAAAATCACCAACCATCAACACTAATCCAAAAAATTATTTTCAAAAAAACTTTTCAAAAGTCATGTTACATGAGTGACCGAATTTAAGGGACTGCACTCTTGTCCTTATGCACTACTTTCAGGGGCAAATTAAGGTAAAGTTAACATGTGACGGTGGAATAAATAATTTAGATGATGAATAAATTAAAAAAGAAATAAAGAACCAAAGATCATTCCACAAACCATGAATCATCATCGTCTATTGCCGTTTGCTGCTTTTCTCGTCCCAGCGATTTTGGGGGTCATCATTTTCCAGCTCGACTCGTTCGACCCGGCACCGTACCCGGCTGGGGAGCTGAGTCAGAGGAAGCCGGCGGCGGCGGCGGCCCCAAGCCGGAACGGCCGGATGCTGGAAGGATCGGAGAGGATAGGAGTGGGACGGGTGTGGGGCCCGGAGGACATAGCCTACGACCCCAAGACGGGGATCATATACACCGGGTGTGTGGACGGGTGGGTCAAGCGAGTGACGGTGAACGAGTCGTCAGCGCCGGACTCGGTGGTGGAGGACTGGGTCAACACGGGCGGCAGGCCGCTTGGACTCGCCCTTGGACTTCACGGTGAAGTTTTGGTAGCTGATGCGGATATTGTGAGTATAGAAACATTGAAAATTAACAGCTAGTATAGAATTATTTTAATGATGTAAATTAATTCTGAAAACGCTAACGCTAATATTACGGTTAGATAGCCTTTTTTTTAAAAGACTAACACTAAACTCTACTGGTTTGCTTGTTTTAAAAAAACACTCAACTCTAATGTTATTGTCAAACGAGACCATTATCAAACAAAACACATATATAACTGATGAGTAAAACGGTTCTTGATGGACAGGGATTATTGAATGTGACGGCAGAGGGGGTGGTGGAGTTGCTGGCGGATGCAGCGGAGGGGGTAAAGTTCAAGTTGACGGACGCGGTTGCAGTTGCAGAGGACGGTGTCCTCTATTTCACAGATGCATCTTGGAAATATGGTGTCAAGGACTTCATTTGGGATTTTCTTGAAGGAAGACCCTATGGCAGATTACTAAGTTATGACCCAAACACCAAACAGACCAAAGTACTTCTCAAAGACTTGTTCTTTCCAAACGGTGTTGTTGTCTCCCCAAACGAGGATTCTGTCATTTTCTGTGAAACCCCAATGTAAGTTTATAATCTATCTATCACTTCTTGTTGTCCGGTCTTTAATCATACGGAGTACTTCGTAGGAAGGGCATCCCACCTCTCATTTCACCTTTACGGACAATGATTACTATTAATTGTTCATGAATAATTGTCAGGGGTTCAGTGTAAGAGCACTCGTAATGGTCCTCACGCCCGCCGGCGTGATCGGGCGTTTAACGCACCGGGGGCGTGAAACACCGCCCCCCTCGGGCGTTATAAGGGCGTGAGTCGCCCAGCGTCATACGTTTGACGCAGCGTGGCTCCGATTCTTTTAGCCGTTCCCCTTCCCAACGGCTAT